CCACTTCTATTCTCTTGCCTTTAACACGGTGTGATTTGTTTTGGTCCGGTCTGTTCTCTACTCTGTTGGCCATTTTAGTTAGCTTCTGCTGCTATTTGTATCTGTATTTCTATTTTATGTTTTCCTGTCTGCTGTGCATGTTTGGTTCTTTTGTACAGCACTTTGGTTGGTCTTGTTGCTGTTTTAAGTGCTATATAAATAAATTGGTATGGCATGGTATATAGACATATCTATATCTATATACATATCTATATCTATATACATATCTATATATGTCTGTATCTGTTTCTATATCTATCCATCCATCCACCTTTATTTCTACAGGTTAATCCCATTGAGCCTTGAGGACTCATTTACAAGAGACCTGGTTTGAACATAGAATGATGACAACAGTGGACAAATAAATGAAGGATGAACACAAACTGAGAAGAACAAGTGAAATAAAATGGTATTAAAATAATGTAACAGAAAAAAACAGCTAGGTTGTAAGTCGATGTAGAAAACTAAAAACAAGAACAAGTTATAAGAACTTCTTGAGAAGATAGAAAGGTGCTGCATAAGTGCAGTCATAAGTTACATTTTATTGCATCGTATAACTTCAGGTGGACCTTTTGTTCCGGAGGTTCTGTTTCTGGTAGGAAGAATTTCTTGGTTACAGAAACACCAGTGTTCGAAACAGAGTTGTGGATTGATTGGCTGAGAGCTGGCCACATGACTGAGTACGGGGATTTTTCATGACAACATTTCTGGAGGTGTGGCCAAGCTCTGAAAAACTGTCAATCATGAATCCATCGGCGCCATTAGAGAGCCGCCGCCTCCTGCGTGTGGGTCCCAGAATGGACCCGTGCTGTACTCGGTTTTGTACCTTACGTGTGTGTAAAACAAACCTTCTGAGGTGGACATGGATCGCTTCAGAGCCTTGAACACATTTAATAGAAACAAATGTGAACTTACTTTGCTCCTTGCAGAAATCTGGTTGTGTCATGGTACTGGGCATGAGCAGCTCTCCTACAGCGGGCTGAAGAGACACACTGAACCGGTCCTCCTTTGTGCTGATGGAGGAAACAAGACAACCAGAAAAGTAAGAAAAGCTCTCGGTCATGACGTGTGGTTGTATGTGACAGCGAGGCGAGCGTCTCATGAACACTCCCGTGTTTTTAGGACACGTCCTGACAGCAGCAGTGCTTCTTCTACCATCATAGAAGGGGGGCGCCCCGCCTACCCAGCCCAGCTGCGTGCACACACATCTGTTTGATAAATGCCAAAAGCAGAGGCGGCGCAACAATTACATGTGAAGGGGACATGTCCCCCCACCCCACCCACATTTAAAAAGTATTCATTTGGACCCCCCACATTTACACGAAACATTAGTTCACCCAGCGCTGTTTCTCTTTCTTCATGAACGAATCCATTCCACTGGACTAACAGGAGAATTCTCAAACCAGTACAAGTCCACTCCAGGTTTCCCTGTGACCTACAACAACTCCACCCAGCATGCACTGCTTCTCCTCCGTTACCTTGGCAGGGTGCTCATGGGGGGAGGAGGGGGAGACACCTGGAGATGTTGGTTGAGTGCTTCAGAACCACTTCTTGTCAACCACTCTGGTCTTGGTGTCCTCAGACTGGTTCTGAGTACAACTTGTCCATCTGGCCTCAAACATCTGGTTGTTCATGAGGATTCATGGTTTTAGGTGAGTGTGCACGTGTTAAAAGCTTCTGGGATTCCAGCAGGAGGTTGTCTTGAAACACAGCAGTGAAGACCTCTGGTTGGCAGGCCGTGGACTGATGAAGTCCTCTGGATGGGGGAGGAAACGGTTCTCACTTAAAGAAACTGGTCCAGATGACACGAGTTGACCCGTTTTGTTCTTACCTCTCTTACGTTTCAAGTTACTATGCTTCGAACACAGACAGACATTTATGGCAGCAGCCATCTTGGATTTTGACATGGCAACCCTAGAAGAAAACTCTCTTACACCATGCACCAAATGGAAGAGTCAGGTCCTCACTTGTTTGTCAAGTTATCGTGCCACATCATGCACGGATGGACAAACAGACGGACGGAGGGTCCAATTCCTGCTCTTCGTTCTGCGACGGAACAACGACTTCTTAAAACAATGATATTTTTACAAGAACACACAAAAGATCAGCATCTTAGGAACCAACAGAAATGTGCAATGCATCATGGGTGTTTTTATCCACTGTGTGTATGAAATGTGTCTCCTTGGAAAACAAACGCAGTGAATTGATTCCCCCATCTCAAACAGATTTTCTGATAAGGTTATTGATCGGTTGAGCCGATGGAATTCAGCAGGCTGGTTTGGGCCGGCGCTGATTAGTGGAAGAATAATTGTTATCCAGTGAATTGGGATCAATCGTGGCTGATGTCTCACCTGGGAGTGACGGCAAAGAGTCGGTAGAAAAGGCAAGCGTGAGGAATGAACAGCTAAGAAAAACCGCACAGAGGGAGAAAGAGCAGCAGAACACGTCGTGCACGTGGAGAAGCCCAGCATCGACAAACCATCGTGTTCTAGTGGTTTTCATGGAAATGACAGAATCTGATGCAACTCATCAGCGGTGGACCACGTGGAGAATGAGCGTCTGCTACCAACCCAGACGTGATCAAACTCACTAGCAGCCGTTTTAGTGTAGGTTCATCCAACATGTTCAGTCAGGTCAACTGGACGGCTTCTTTTTGGTGCCGAGACGTTTCGTCCTTCATCCAACGGACTTCTTCAGTCTGAGGAACCACCAAAACTGATTCTCCACCGACAGCACAGTCCAAAGTGGTAAAAACAGTTTGCTGGTGCTAAGATGGTCGATCGCGATCATTCAGGATTTATTTCCAGCTGCATTTCTTCCTGGAAGACGATGGGTCCCCACCGTCCTTCCAGTTTTAATAATGTGTTGGACAGTTCTTAACCCAGTTTCAATAGTTTCTAGATGTTTCCTCTGCTTGATGCCGATGATTCGACCCTTCTCAAACAGACCGACATCTTTTCCACGACCACCATGAGTCTTTCATCATGTTGTTGAAGAATGAGAAGCAGCTCACTGCACCAGTTGGAGTTAAAGAACCTGTTGCAGCTGAAGGATGATCGTCCGTGCAGTGATGATCCAGCAGGAGGCTCGGACCTGTTTCATGAGCTACATCCAGGTGGAGACTTGTTTTTGTTGGACAGGCAGTGTGTGACCTGATTAGACGTGATTTCATAAAACTAAACATCGGTACTTCCATCTGCTTGTTTGCTCTGGAAGAAAATATGGACGCTCGTCAAAGATCTTGCTTCATGTGAAAGCTGCCCTGCCTCTTGTAAATGTTAAAACCTCTGAACTACGTGTATATGATGGGAGTCAACTTTCCTACGTGGGCGCAAGCTTCAGGGGCGTGCTGTGTCTGTCAACATTCATTAACGATTGTTAATGTCTGTTAATGTTTAGCTGGTGTTTTTCTTAGTTCATATCTTTGATGTTATTACTGTTTTTATTTTACATTTTATTGTTGGATGTAACTGGGACCCTGAGAACACGATCTTGTGCCATCACATGTGGTGGAACAACCAATAAAGAATCTCTGACTTCATGCTTGTTAAAGATAATTAATTCTAGTTAGTTTGTTAACGTTTATTAACACTTGTTAATACTCATTAAGACTTGTTAATGTTTATTAATGTTTATTTATGTTTCTTAATGTTTGTTA